TTTTTTTTTTTTGAGCATTTTGAGATACGCATGCCTCGTTTTCGTCGTCTTAACGACTTTCTGACATAGGACTGAAGATATTGAGTTAAGCCAAAATACATCAGGCATACCAGCGAAAATCTTTTTATTGATGTTTAAAAATTCGAGTATGCAAATCTGAAGTAAATAGTAGCGCGGTCGCCGAGGCTTCGTCGACTTTCTCAAACTTACCTCGTCGTCACGTTCCCGTGGGACTTGATTGCAATCTTATGCGTTATTTCCGAATACTTTATTAGAATCAAATGTTAATGATAATTTTCAAAATACTTTTTGAATTATAAAATATTTTATTAGAAAATTAACCACGTTTTACCCTTCTCGTAGGCTTCATATTGTACAAGTCATCAATTCTGTAAAAAATATTCATTCACACATAAAATGACTGAGCCTGTATGCTTTTGACAAAATGGCAGCTATTGGGAATATGTTTGTACCACGTGACATGGCAATATATATATGACAACTAGAAGAGAAGTAGTACAGGCCTTGTAGGAGAAATTAAGTTTTTATTTTTTTTGGTGGTGGAAAAGGTGTTGAACACAAAAAATTTCCAGAGTACATATTTTTAACATTGTAATGGTTAGGTTCTTATTTTTTTTATATGATAAACTCGTTTTTTAAGGCCAAAAACATCTTTTTAAAGGTAAAAAGAACAGTTACACCCAACATCAAGCTGCTTTTTTACCTCTGAGCTGGCGCAACAGCGATAGCAGCAGAAGCAGAAATGAAAAGCTCCATGTAGGGTTGACTGTACTTTGTACGTTCAAAACTCTGTTTACGGCCTTAATAAACAATTTAATCGTATGAAAAAAATAACAACCTTACTCTCATAATGTCAGAAATATGTAATCCAACAACTTTTTGTATTCAACACTTTTTCCACCACGAAAAACAATAAAAACTTAATTTCTTCCATAAGGCCTGTACTAATTTTCCTCTCTCTTTATATATATATTGCCGTGTCACGTGGTACAGGCATATTTTCAATATAGTGTGTACACTAAAGCGGATAAACAAACACGCGTGTTTGTCTATTTTAGTAGACACAAAGATATCTAGTCCATTCATAAAAAAAGATTTTCTTGATAACGTAGTTTTCCAAACTTTTCGCTGATCAATGACAGTTAAGACATGATATCAAACTATAACTGAATTTTTATTTGTTAATATTTTATAAATCTCAAATTTATGAGATTCCCCCATTGTATTGAGCCTCCCTTATATGATAACAGCCTTATTTTTCATGTTTAGATTATATGAGGTTAAAGATCTATATTTATGTTATTTAAAACATCAGCTAGAGATGTCAATTACAAAATGTATTTATACCTTTGGTGTAAGTAACGGGGTGGAGTACTTAAGACGTAAAGTTTGGCTAATTTATACATACATTTTTATGATCACATGAAGTTACCCTTACTGCAGTTGTTTTGTTAGTTAGAAATATAATGAGTGTTTTTATTCCTAACGTCTTTAACTTTTTGATTACAGGAAGACATGGTGTGTCTTTCATGCACAGCCACTGGGGAACGAGTTTGTCTGGCAGCTGAGGGTTTTGGAAATCGACACTGTTTTCTCGAAAATATAGCTGACAAAGTAAGTACCCGTAAAAGTGATTCACGATCATCAATACATTTAGATAAGATATTTAGATGTTCATGAATCAGTTGTTAGAGAAAAATAAACTTACCAAAAACATTTTTTTCAACTATATAACTAGTAATTAAATCGATTTCACAAATAAAGAATTGTAAAGTACTGGATAAGGACTTGGTCTATTATTTAGGAAAGTTTTCATATAAGGTTCTACTGGAATGTTAACAATGACTTATCAGAAATGTAAAATTTTAGTTTTTGGGCATTGGGCGCAATTAGACCCAGCTAAGTCATTCACTTATTAGAATTTCATTGATAAGAAACCCGTTTTTTTAATAGTAACTTTTTATGCAAGTATATTTCATGTGTTAAACTCAATAATGTCATCATAAGATATTTGTGTTTCACAGAATATACCACCGGACTTATCACAATGTGTATTTGTAATTGAGCAAGCCTTATCAGTAAGGGCTTTGCAAGAATTGGTTACTGCTGCTGGATCAGAGACGGTAACGTAACAAATACCTTATAATGTTTACATTTAAATATATTTTTCATTACAATATGTGTAATAGTTTTATCTTGGAACAAAGAACTTCCTGATTAATGTAAAAAAACAGCCCAGTTATGCATTTTGATTTTCGAAACATTGACGTTATTTTTATTGGCGATTTACGTCAACTTCCACCAGTTAGATCAACGCCTATTCACAAATCAATTAAAAATTGTATGGTTGGGCCTTATTTATGGAAAAAATAGAAATTTTATCACCTTACTCAAGTAAGAAAGCAAGCTAATAAGACGTTTTCTTCTACATTAACAAAAATTGGCAACGGCAAAAAATACACAAAATGTCAGTAATAGATACAGGTAGCTTACCTTACATTATTACTTTTGTTTAAGATAAGTATTATTTCATCACTTTAAACATTGAAATATCTGATGGCTTAGCTAATAGTGGTGCTGATAAGTTGGTTTATTTAGATTTCGATAAAGATAATATTTTTTGACAAGTTTGGTTAGAATTTCCTGGTAATATTCAAATTGGTGATAAAATCAGAAAAAAGCTGCCTTATTCGCTATAAAAAAATAGAATTAATAGATCTGCCGTACAGATCAAACTACGAACATCAAATATTTCTTTAACAAAAGACAATAAAGTTACCGTTAAACGAAAACATTTCCGCTTGATAGCAGTTTGTGCTATGACAATTCACAAATCACAAGGTGGAACGTTCAATCAAGTTGTTTATCAGTATGAAAAATTGCATTCGCAATCCCTCGTTTACATTGCACTTTCTCGTATAACAAGTCTTAAAGGCTTGTATATTGTAACATCTGAAAACGATCTGACTAAGTTTAAATTTTATCATGACCGTTGATAAGCTGCTTTGACTGTAAGTTTAGTACAAGAATCTTAAAGGCTCTCTTTAAATTCTCTTGCGAGTACAGCTTGAATAATTACCAATTTCATTTCTGATACAAAAAATATGTCTAAAATATGTTTCAATATCTTAGGTCTAAGGAAACATTTACTTGATTTGAATAATACAGTCACTAGAAAATGTAATGTTTTAATGTTGACTGAAACATGGATAGACAATAATCAACAAATTAACATACCACAATTTAACTGTATCGTCCATTTTAAACGTGACAATGCATGGTCAGTGGAAGTTACAATACATCATAATATTAATGATACGGTAAATATCGTTGGTCCAAATATGGATATGACTGTAAAAAGTACCCATGATTTAAATGTTCGAACAGCAGATACTGCAGACATTTGTTCAGCCATATCTATAAAGAAAAATGCCCAAAAAATAGTAGTGGTAGCCATATATGTTTCACCTTATCAAAAAATAGAAGATATCATTTATACAATTCTTAAAAGACTACTGGAGTATACGACAGGAGGTGCACAATTGCTTGGCAAAGATTTAAATAAACTTCCACTTATTTTAGCTGGTGATTTTAACATAAACTTTGCTAATAAAAATTCCGAGTATTTGACCAATATCCTCTTCCAAAAATGAAACTGAACTATAAATAGTGATCCTGAAAAACATATAACAAGATATAGGACTACGATAGATGCCGTTTTTTCTCGATATCTAAATAAAATACAGTTAAGAACATACGTATCTGATTTAAGTTACCATAAACCAATAGTTTCTATTGCAGAATCTGACTAACTTTTATATTAAGTTATTTATTTGTAACGTAATTAAAAATATATCTACGTATGTGCAGTTTTTATATTTTTATATTATAGTACTTAAAATATTTAACATTCAGTCTCAACATTTTATTTTTAATCCATTTCCATAATAATATCTCATGTTTTAAAATGAAACTTAAATCATATTAATATATTAATTGGCAGTAAAATTGCAAGAAAATAGGTAAGAAAAAAGTAATTTGGAAAAATATATGTACAGANTCAATACAAAAGATGGATCAAGATTTGATTATCTTACATTTGATTTGATTTGATTGTCTTACTTATTTAAGATATTTTATTTTTAATTCTTGATATATTCAAAAATAATTTTATATTTAGTATCGTTTAATTAGTTGTTTATGGGATAGGAGTAATTCACGAACTACTAAATGTTGACATTATTTACTAGCACGAGACTCACTAAATGGAACACTGAAGTGTGTTGACATGTTATGTGAAACGTTTTCAGTTAAAAATTTTATATCTTCTCTTGAAACTTCTCAGAACAAAAACTTCTTATGAAATATATATTTGTTTGGAATTCATACAGTTTACTTGGTTCAATAATAAGCTTTTAACAGTGAAAAATATATAATCATGCTAAAAAGTACCGTACATTTTTTATGCCATAAAATAAAAAAGGAAAAACATAAAAAGAACAAACCAGCGGGTATAAATAAGCCATGGGACCCACGGTAGGAAAGAAGTTCTGTAAACATGAGATGAGGGGCGAAAAATAATTGAACCTAAGATGTGTATCAAAAAACATCATAAATTAAATAAATACGATTCCTCAGGTAACAAGGGGGTCACAAGGCCCATCGGAAGAACGAAGCTTAATGAGAATAACTACTGCATTAATGTAGTTCAGTAAAACAAAAACTTAAGAAACGAAAAAAAAAATAATAAAAAAAAATTTTTTTTAATTAGTTTAGTACTCACGATCGTTGAACATCGTGAGTACTGTTTTTATGCGCGATGTTCTGAGATAGTTTAACCATCGTAAGTACTAAACTTTTTTTTTTTTTTCCATGTTTTTGTTTAACTGAACTACATGAATGCAGTATTTATTTTCATAGAGCTTCGTTCTTCCTATGGGTCTCGTGACACTCTTGTTACCTGAGAAATTGTGTTTCTTCATTTCATGATGTTTTTTGGTACTCATTTCATGTTTTAAGAACTTCGTTCTTACCGTGAGTCCCATGACTTATTTATGCCCCCTGGTTTGTTTCTTTTAATTTTCTCCATTTTTTTAACTTTCCTTTGTTTTTTACTTTTTTACGGCATAGGACCTTATAGTTAGTAATAACTTTTCAACGCATTTCAGAGAATTAAAAAACTTATTGACTAATAATCACAGGCTTTTACTTGTGAGACTGACATATAATAAATTTAACATTTCAACGTTAGATGTGCTCATAACTGCACGCAATTGAATTTTGGCATTTCATATTCTACTAAGGTGGAGGACGTTGCACAACTTTTTTCCGATTTTTTGTCACAATAAGTAAGTGCTGCAGGTTTGCAAGTTTATAATTTGGATCTCCCCAGAATAAAATTTAAGAGCCCATAACACCGAAGAGTGTTATGTATCTTTTTGAAGCGTTCGGTTATCGACTTAGGAGGTAACACGTTAAACTATAGTTGTTTTGTAAATGATTTCTGTGTAAGTAAAAAGTTTAATTCTCATTCAGTGCGTCATAATATTGATTTTTCAACTAATTTATAAGAGGCCGTAGCACTATCACGTAACGATACAAAGCGCATTGTATCTCAATTAAATGTTGGGTTATCGACTTGGATAGTGACTTGTATGAATTGTAACGAGGTGCGCGAGGGAAAATGATTGTATGAAACAGTACGTGTCCTCACGTCCTGCCAAATTATGTTTCGATCAGGCGCCTTAGGCCCAAAAATCTTTGACGGTGGTCGTTGTCAAATTCACTGGCCAGTTTACCTGTAATTTCACCTCTGTCGTTGAGTCCAGCCCCATGTGCCTTAGGATACCAGGGATTGTCCCGAAAGTGCACGTATATTTTGGACGAGAGGAATACTTAAACTTTGATATCGTGCAAAGGGACGGGGCCACGGGGTTCTCAGATTAGGTAGCACACACATATACGGCCTTAATAACTTAATATTCAAAGGCTTGCAAATAAAGCAAATAAAAGTGCATACACTGAATATAAAAGAATACAAATTTATATACGCGGGTGTGTGTACATGCTGGAACGAGCAAAAGTATGAAATTAGCTAGTATACAATACCGCTGTCTCTCTTGCACATATGTATCCCACGTGACAGGCAGATCTCGCGAATTACAATGAAAGACGCGCTCAAAAACGATCTCACCAACTTACTTGGTCGAACGTAGTTACAAAAGATGACGATCGATGCGGTGTAGATCTCGGCTTGGAGGAGGAACGGGTGAGCGTGCTCACCAGCTAAAGTTCCTGGTCACTACCCGGATTACAAAGCCTGAATCATGAGAGTACTCGGGTAGTATCAACCTCAATCGCGTCTTGCTTTGCACCGAAGTTCGTTGGCACCCCTAACCTCTGCGAGTCACGTATCTCTTAACTGCGCTATACTACCACCTCGCATGGGCTCCCAAGCTAGTCTACTTCGACTAGCTCCGCTTTCTTTTACTTCGCTCCTCCTCTCTCGTCTCTCCTCCGTAACCCCGCGAACGCATAGCGTTTGGGCCGTGACATAATGTTATCAGTAAGTACATAATATAAATGTAAAAATTAAGTAAAATTTTTATCCGCAGTGCCTTTATCTTAGTTATAATGAGATCTTATAAGAGCCTGTAATGCTCATATTTCATTACATAAAATAAGAAAGTCGTAAAAATTTTTATTGTCCAGATCCAGTAGGGCTAAAATAGTTTTAACTTATTTCGGTCACGAACGATACAAAAAATATTTTAACAATTTACAACTAACTTTAAATTGTTAACCATTTTTGCCCTAGAAATGTGCTATTTTTTGTAATATGACCCTTAAATCTTTGGTTTGCGTAGCACCTCCCCCTTGTTTCAAGTGTAGATTATAACTTAATTTTAATAAAAAATGTAACTTCCAAAAATCATTAAAAAAATGTTAATCTTTCAGAAATCAATATTTTGACTCATAACATCAAGATTTGAGAAAAAGTAAAAAACGTAGAGAAATGCAGTAATGTATAGGCAAATTGAAATACTGTTTTCTAAAGATTTTGAATGATACTGTTTCTTGAGTTATTAGTCAATACAAAAGATGGATCAAGATTTGATTATCTTACATTTGA